ACAGGAGTGGCAGGACTCATACCATTTATAAAACAGATAGGAACTGGCTCAATAACCCAAGAAACAGATGCAAAATTGTAAAATATTGGAAAAGTGCAAGAGGTTTATGGTCTTGAATGCTGTCGTTTCTTTCCCAGTATTTCCAAGCATAACCTGAGTCTTTCATCTTCGTTTTTCTTCCCTCTCTTCTTTCCTTCTGTTATGCTCCATCCTGACTTGCCTCTCTTCCTGCCACTCCCCTGGCCTTTCTCCCTGCTTCCTCCCCAGCAGTCTAGGTGTGGAGGACTTAAAGTATAGCGTTGTACACTCCTCTTCCCACATCACAAACAGCATCTTCTCTGACCCACAGTTACAACAATAGGCCCCAATGTTCCAGAGGAGGACAATATAGCTAAAGCATGACCCAACAAAAGAAAGCATGGTTTACGGTTCATATTTTACGTAACTGCTTCACTTCTGAAAACTCTGAGCATCATCTTATGGAAAAGCATTCTCTAAGTGGACACTCCCCACTCAACACAGAACCATGTATTATTCCCTCCAATGTGCTCATCTCTCTATTTTCCTTCCCACTTGTGAATCCTTCTATGGTTTTCCCCTCGTCTTTTCCATGCTGTGCTCCTCCCCTAACCTTAGCAAGTGTCAGCTGGGCTTCCTCTTCTCCTGAAGCAGAACAGGTCTTGAGGGCTGGGCTCCCTCTATCCTCACCTTCATACAGAAGGAATTCAGAAGAGAGCAAACCTCTTCTGGAGGCTGGTGCTCACTCTGCAGGCACCTGGAAACCACTTCTTTGCTTTCAAGTAGTTATGTAACCTAAACAAGGACTATTGTCCCTCTTTTAATATAGGCATTCTCTTCCTTGGAAGGCATCATAAATGATCATTTCAGAACCATAGAGGTCTCCTCGACTAGACTCAGACCTCCTTTGGGCAGAGGCTGTGTCTCTTTCTCTCCCTAGCACCAGCTACTGCCCCTGGCACATGGCCATGTTTGGTAAATGTTTACTTGTTGAAAGTCCAATTGACAAAAATGTTGCTTTCATCCAGTGGCATCTCTGTATGAGTGAACATCTCAGGTTTCTTGCTGAGCGCAGACTCAGAGCAGAAGGTGGGAGGGTGTAGCACGAGGACTTGGGGCTCAAGGCAGTGTGGTGTGGTGGGGGGAGGGCAGCTCCTAGATTGGAGAACATTCTCCTTAGACCACTCCCACTTTACAGCTGTACAGAAAAGCAGCCCCTGCTGCATTGTCAGGGGAGACCTGTGCTTAGAGAGCAACAGGAAAAGGGCCTTCAATCCAGTGTGGTGTAGTGGGGAAAAGACAGAGTAAGCCAGACAAGCCTGAGTTTGACTCCTGATTCTATCACCTAGTAGCTGTGGATTTGGGGAAGTTAGGTAATTGCCTTGATTTTAAAATTTCTCATCACTAAAATGGGCAAAACAAGACTATTTCAAAGGATTCTTGGCGTACTTGAATGAGACAATGTTTTTGAAGCCCTAGTACAGGGGCTGACACATCGCATATACTCAATAAATGGCAATTAGTAGTAGTAGTGGTAATAGTATTGCTATAATTTTTTGGTTGGGTGGAAAAGAGAACTATCCTTTTCCTCATCATTTCTTCACTAAGATTTTGTGTCCTCTTTATGACAGTTCAGAGTGTTACTGACTCACTGAGAGTCAGCCATAACTTTTAAAAAAATTTTTTTTAAATTTTTTATTTTTTTAATTGCAGTAACATTGGATTATAACGTTACATAGCTTTCAGATGTACATCGTAATGTATTTCAAATTCTGTGTAGATTACATCATGTTCACCACCCAAAGCCCGATTATGGTCCATCCCCTTACACGTGAGCCTAATCACCCCTTTTGCCCTCCCCCCTCCCCCCTTCCCCTGTGGTAACCACCAATCCAATCTCAGTTGCTATGTGTTTGCTTGTCGTTGTTTTTATCTTCTACTTATGAGTGAGATCATATGGTATTTGACTTTCTCCCTCTGACTTTTTTCACTCAGCATAATACCCTCAGGGTCCATCCATGTTGTCACAAATGGCCGGATTTCATCATTTCTTATGGCTGAGCAGTATTCCATTACAGCCATAACTTTTAAAGCTGGTGAACTTAATCCTCTATTCTTTTTTCTCATTTGATTTTCCCTTCCTTTTCCAACTCCTCACTTCTGGGTACTTCTTCCTCTCCTTTCATTTTTATAATGCCTGCTCTCCCAATTCTGGCCCACTCCCTTCCCAATCTATACTTCATATTATGTTCTTAATTTACTCTAAGGTGTGAATGGCTGATTAGCAGCCACAGTGTTACTCTCAGGTGATATTTTCACACAAAGAAGAACAAAATCCTCTAACTGAGAAACATTAAGATCCTTTGAGTTCAGTGTTTTTCAAATTGCAGGTTGCAATTTAAAGGAATCAATTTAGTGGCTCCTGACTATCATTCTTTTCATATTATTGCACCTTCTTACAACATGCTATTTTAGTGTCCTAATGTAGAGGAGAAAATTGTAAACAGTTCAAAAATCTAGGGGGAAAATGTATTTGCTTTAACCTTCAAGTGGAAGTTACTTGTATGTAACAATCTATTTGTATGTTATGTCCCAGGTTTTAAATAACCAACCTTGTTGAATTTCAGTCCGAAAAATGAGGAAACAAATAGTGGCATCAAAGGAGTTAAGCAGAGGAGGTGAAATGGATATAGAGTTGAAATTGGAACTGAACATTGTCAGATCTCTGTCTCCAAAGGAAAATCTAACTTAAATAATAAAGGTCCATTTTCTATACAGCCAAATGCCATGTCACTTAATTAGGAAAACATGATTTGGGAAAAATCTTTCTGGATTATATTTAACTAGGGTACCAAGAGCATCATGCGTAAAAGGAAAAACCGATAAACTGAACTACATCAAAACTAAAAACTTTTGCTCTGCAAAAGTCTCTGTAAGAGGATAAGATAAGCTACAGATTGTGAGAAAAGATTTGCAAATCAAAGAACTCTCAAAACTCAGCAGTAGGGGCTGGCTCTGTGGCCGAGTGGTTAAGTTTGCGCGCTCCGCTGTGGCGGCCCAGGGTTCAGATCCTGGGCACGGACATGGCACTGCTCGTCAGGCCACATTGAGGTGGTGTCCCACATCCCACAACTAGAAGGACATGCAACTGAGATATACAACTGTGTACAGGGGGGGTTTGGGGAGATAAAGCAGAAAAAAAAAAGGAAGATTGGCAACAGTTGTTAGCCCAGGTGCCAGTCTTGAAAAAAAAAAAAAAGAATAGTTTAAAAAATAAATTAATTAATTAAAAACTCAGCAGTAAAAACAAATACTCAAACCAAAAAAAGGGCAAAGGACATTTCACAGAAGAGGATATACAGATGGCAAATAAGCACATGAAAAGATGCTCAACATCATTAGCCATTAGTGAAATGCAAATTAAGACATCAGGACACATTTATAAAAATGACTTAAAAGTAGCAACAATACCAAATGCTGGTGAGGATGCAGAGAAGGTGGAATTGCTGGTGGGAATGTAAAATGGCACAGCCACTCTGGAAAACAGTTTGGCAGTTTCTTAAGAAACTGCAACTACCATGCAAACCTGCAATTGCATTCCTGGGCATTTTTCCCAGAAAAGTGAAAACTTACGTTCACACAAAAACCTGTACACAAATGTTCACAATAGCTTCACTTGTTATACCAAAACCTGGGACTAGTCCAGATGTCCTTCAATGGTTGAATGGCTAAAAAAATTGTGATACATCCTAAAGGTTTATTTACTCTATGATTTCATTTATATAATATTCTTGAAATGACAAAATTATAAAAATGGAGAACCGATGTGGCTATGAAAGGGCAACATGAGGAATCTTTGTGGTGATGGAATGTTCTTGTATCTTGACTGTATGAACGTCAATATCCTAGTTGTGGCATTGTACTATAGTTTTGCAGTATGTTACCATTAGGGGAACCTGGGTCAATGGCATGCAGGATCTCTCCATACTATTTCCCACAACTGCACATGAATCTAAAATTATCTCAGTAAAATTTTAAACTAAGCAAAAACACATATGAAAAACCTTTGGGCTTACTTCTGTCCATGTACATTCATAACCATGTCACTGGTTGCACAGGATTCTGTCATGAAAAAAAACCTTAGATGCTTTCTAAAAGCTAATTAGGTCCAATGATAAACTAATAATAGCAAGCTATTTAGCAAGCTGTAAACCAAAAAGGTGTAGAAATTTAGCAGTTGAATTCTATTTCCTGACTATAGCACTTCTGCTATTCAATCTATTTTCTCCACATATTGGAAGACTGAACAGGCCCTGGCGGTCAAAATACAAAAGACACTGTTGCAATAAATGATAGACTATTTGAGAGAAGGAACAGTTCCTAATGTCTTGACAATCTATGATAGTCCATAAAGGCCTTTGTGTCCACGTGCCAGGAGGACTGCGGAACAAAGGGTAGAGGTTAAGACAGGTATGAGAAGGGACTACTGAGATAACATTAGACTTTAAAAAATATTGATAGCAAATCTGCCTATCTAGTGTACAAAAAACAGTCAGAATAGACATCGGCACAATTTTAACCTGATGATTCATGAAAATGGATTATTTTTTATGAGAAAAAGTTCAGTCATTTCCTTGTGAACACAAAGAAAATTAAGAGAAAATTTAAAGGTACTAAGGAAATGCAACACTAACTCTTATAATGTATTCCCTCTCAGTTAAACAGGCAAATCTCCCTAAAGACAAGTGTTTTTCAGCCTGAATATTTATCAGACTACATAACCTCTGTACCAACTGCATTTTGATTTTGTAACAGAACCTTTTCTATAAAAGCTAGTACAACAACTAGAAGTGAATATAAAATATTCCCCCTTTAAGCCTTTAACACATAAAAAGCTATATAACATATGCATTAATTAATAGTTTTATAAAAGTAATGCAGTTTTGGACTGTTAGAATCTGTATTTGTGGCGAAATAACCAGGCACAAGGATATCAAGCACACAATTTTCACTTAATCTGTTATTTTCTAGGTTTACCATTTAATTATTGCTGTACAATTCAACTGTAAGTATTTCAGTACTTGAAGCATGAGCTCTACAGAACAAGAAGCAGTTAGCTGTAGTACCAGGGCTTGTTTCTTCCAATTGCAGCGTCGAACAAGTGTCTTCTACGCATAGCGGCCCTGGGTTTGCAGTTGATCACCGTCAGGACCTTCATCCGATTCTTCTGTAGTAGTCTTCTCTTCGTTAGTAGCATGTAGACTTTCTTCGTTTTTATCCTCTTCTTCCAGTTGTAGCTCTTTCGAAATTAATTGTCTAGCTAATTTGATGTTCAGCCCCTCGTTGTAGTGAAGCTTTCTTTTCATTTCGAACTGCTGATGTTTTTCTTGAATGTCGACGAAGATTTTGCTGGTGTGCGCCCCGTGGCTCTCTGGCTCCCCGACCTGATAGTTGGACTCCGACATATCAGTGACAGCTAATTTCAAGGCTAAGATGTCTAGGGTCATGACTTCTTTTGCTTCTAAATCACTCATTGCATCTTCCCCATCATCTTGCACACTGAGGTGCGGACTACCGGGCTCATTTGTCTTCATTAATTCATGATCTCTGTATGCTGCGCGGTATGTCGCCAGGATGTTCGATTCGTCCCACTTCTGGGACTTTTTTCTCTGCACCTCCTGGGTAGCCCCTCCGGACTGCTGGGTGGAGGCCGCCATCGAGGAAGCCGTGGAGCCTTTGTTCTTCAGGATCCCCTTGATGGGCCGGTGCTGCGAGGTGGTGGAGGCCGCCATGCTTGGGGAGTGAAGGGCCTCCGCTCGAGGGTTGGGCCGCCGCAGCCGCCCGCCGCGCTCCAGTCTGAAGCTGCAGCGCGGTGTGTCTGGACCACGGCCCCAGCGCCCTAGCAGCCAGCCTCCCCAGGTCGTGGCGTCACAAAGGATGACACAAACAACGCCACAGTGGTCACCGCCGCTGTCATCGCCACCGTCATCACCGCCGTCATCACCTCCGTCACCGCCTCCGTCACCGTCTCGTGGCCCATGGTGCTGTCTTTATTTTTTTAATGGAGTAAGATAGGAAATATCCCTGAATTGCACGTGAACTGAGGGAGCACTGTTTTGCGAATTTCTAAATACCCTGTATGAGTACGGGGAGGCTGTGTAAAATGTATTTCTTACTGTGGGTCACTGTCAAAAAATTGAAAGCCACGGCTTTGGTTGGAAAAATTGAAGGCACAGGCGCTAGAAGGGGATGAACTTCTGCTCTTCCCTGCCGTTGCCATCCACACCTCACTCTCTCCTCACCTGCTGACACACAAACCCCGGTCCTTCTCTCCTGCTCTGCCTCTCAGTTATCGGCCCCATTATCCAGCCGCTTACACCAGCTGGGGACATGGCCATCAGCCCTTCATATTGCTCACTCTCCCAATCCAGCTCTCAGGTACTGGCCCAAATATTTCAAGACACTCTCCAATTCTATCTCTTCTGCCACCAGTCTGTTTCAAGTCACCACTATCTCTTGTTGGGACTACAGCTACAGCCTTTGAACTGAAACCCCCATAACCCCTCCTGCTGCCTTCCAACCTCTTGTCTACCCTCTAGCCAGAGTGACCTTTTTAAAACACCCATCAAATCTTGTCACATCTTTCACATCCTGTAATGGCTGCCCATTTTCTTTAACATAAAGGCAAAAATCCAGAAGAGGCCAAAAAGCAGCTCTATGATCTGCTCAGGCGTACGCTGGAGCCTCCTTCCCCCAAATTTTCCCCACCCTACCTCCATTTTTCCATTCTGGTCTTTCAGTTCCAGGAGCATGCACCTTCCTTCCTGTCCTAGAGTCTTTTTCTGGGTTCTTCCCACAGCCTGGAATGTCCCTTCAGATTTCAGCTCAATCATTACTGCCTTCCAGGGGCCTGTTTCCTGACCCCCAAAGCAGATAGGTCTTCCTGTGCTTATGGCCTCTCCTGTCCTCCTTGGCAACACCCAGAGTTGTTGCAATTATCTCTGTGTACACTAGATGGTAAACTCCAAGAGATAAAGGAAGGTATCTGTTTTGCTCACTGTTATCTCCAGCTTTGCATCTTCACAACATGATGCTGTACCTGGCACATAGTAGGTATTACAAAAGTAGTTATTGAATGAATAATACCTGATAGGTGACAGGGAACTGGAGAATGAGACGTGTGAGTGGAGAAAAAGGGCGCCCCAGAGCCTTTACAGTCAGTTACAATTGTCCAATCAATCACGTGGGGAAAACACCCCAGATGTGGAATTTGGGGGCTGTTATAGGAGTGACTTTGGAACATTTTGTCCTTAACAGGCCTCCTATTTCACAGGCAGCAACATTTTTCTAAAAAACAAAAAGGAAATTAAGATCCAGCTTCACATTTTCCCCTCCACGTAGCATTCGCGAGATTTTTTTTCCTTCTGATAACATTTTGCTTCCTCTTCTCTCCCTCAAGGTCTTTCTGCATTTTAGAACACAAAAGCAAAAGCATGAAAGAACCATAAAACTTTTACAAGGGTCTTAAGCACCTTAAGTTCAAGTTGTCCTGTATTCTCCAAAGTCCTACTAACTTCAGGAACTCGGCAATCACTTTAAAACCGTGTTATTCATCTCAGAAAAAGAATTTCCCGATACCGTACTCTTTGAAAAGAAAAAGTATTGTGTGGTGAGGGCTTTCAGGAATTCAAAAGCTCATATTCAAGGCTATAGGAAAAACCTCTGGTATGTGAGGGGGAAGAAAACAACCTTCATTATTCAGAAATACTCTAGGCTACTCTTTTAAAAAGCCTAACTGAAAGGCAGCCCAGACCAGCACAAACGCAATTTGTCCTCCTGGCTGGTAGGCACAGTGGGCTTCTGCATGTTTAGCTGTAAACAGGATGTTAAGGGAGAGGCTGATTCCACTACATCGGGATTTTGCCTTTGTGTGTACACAGCACCCACCCCCACATACTGCGATCTGAATATACAAGCTGCTCAATATATAATGAGTCAGCGATGCAGCGGTTCTTGCATTTTCTGGAACTCATCATTCAGTAGCACAATGGCAGTTCCTGCTAGGGCAGGGGCACTGTGATTGTGACGTATTACATGGGCCACAAACAAAATCAATTGAAGAATGAAAGCACCACACATTACATATTCCAGTTGCACGTTATTTAAAAGTAATTCCTTTCCTTCTACCTGTTGCTAATTATCTGCTTAATGAAAGTCGCCCTAAGGAAATTCCAAATTTTGAGTTCTTGTCATCAAGCCAAAAATTCTCGATCTAGTCAACACTACCGTAATCCTAAAAGTTAGAAAAGATCAGCAGTCTTTTCAACATTCCTCTTTACATGATTCGCTAGTTCTTATCCTGGGACAAGGACCGAGCAGACATGTCTAAGGTTCCATCACACACATACACAACCCCAGGGCTGACTAAAACTTTCCCGGTCAATTACACATTATATGAAATTTAGATACAGGCCTAGAAAGTCCTTCTTTCAACAAATATTTAGTGGTCAGCTCCTGTATTTCCAGTAGGAGAACCTTCATTTCAAATGCACAAAAGGAGAAGTTGTGCTTCCGTGATCTTCAATGGGTTAATATTTGTTAAATACATCTAAATATGCATGCTGTTCTGTCATCACAGTTTACAAATACATTTAAAAATATTATAGGTATTTAAAATGTCATTTAAATCCTCTGCTGTTTGCACAGAGTCAGAGTACTCTACGGAGCACTGCTTGTTAATGGTGGCAGTAGGTCACGCCACAGCTTCAATTCTTCCACTGAGAATCACCTCCCTTTTGTGGAGACAGTCTCCAAATGCCATAAGTACAGGAGTTGGTTCAAAGTGAACCAAGCCAGGGACAAAGAAATTCTCAACCAAAGGTGGGAACACCTAAGAAACCAAGAGTTACCAAAAACTAGGAAGGTATCCCAGAGGTCCCACTGGGTGCCATTAGTGAGAGATTAGTGAAACACTGAGAAGGCAGTGGGCTATTTTTTGGGACTAATCGTGCCATCAGAAGTGGAGATTAATTCTAGTTCAGCTATGTGGTTTCTGAAGTCATGCATCAATCTAACCAAGAATTGTCCACAGTACTGGGAGAATTATGTTAGATACTGTGTCATATAAAAATAAAAGTGCTATTTGGTTTTGAATCGATGTTTTTGTCCAATCTCTCTCTTTCATGTTCCAACCCCAAATTTCTGACATTCTGCGAAATATCCCTATCTTACCTTAGCAGCCAACCCTGAGACAAGGATTCAAGTGCAAGTAGTTTACTTGGGTGGAGATTTCCAGAAAACACTGGTAGGGGAGTCGGGAAGTGAGACAGGGAAGGGCAGGAGGCAAAGGGTGCATCACCAAAGCAATTCATACTGTGGGCAACTAGAGCTTAATGCTCCTAGAAACTCTAGGAGTCAATGTAGAAGACTTGCCTCCATGGCCCTTCCCCTCTCCATGGGTGAAGGAGCTAGAGTATATTTAGACGTCAATTGCTGCCGTCTTTTCTTTAGGCCTGCTGGGAGTTGGAAGCGGCATTGATTCCCTAGCATTCTAGGTTCCTGCATCAGGAGTGGATGGGCAACTTGCTGATTCATCTGCATTTTGGTTTCTTCGCTTCCCTCTTTCACAAATCCTCTCCTGCTACCCTGCTCCCTGGGATCATAGTCCCGAATGAAACTCTTTTTCTCCAGCTCTGTTTTTGCAGGTAGAAACAAGACTAAGACAACATTTGTGTATTTTAACTTGAGTTCTCCCACACCCAACATAATAATTGGCACATGTGCATACTCTGTGGCACATGACCATATTTTTGTAAAGTGGGCAGATGAACTGAGGGAAGTGGACAAAAATCTTTTGAAAGGAGGAGCTTGACAATGGGTGCAGATCTAGAGAGGTTCAGTGAGGCAATGGTTTTCCATCTTTTTCATTATAAGTTTTAAAGCTGTAAAACATTGTTTCCCAAAATGAAATATTATATAGAACTCTAGGATTAATATCAATAAAATTGGAGCAAAGAAGTAATGGAATTGATCTGAGTGAAGCTGGGGTAGCCAGAGTTCTTTCTGTTTGGCACCTCAGAGGTAGCTCCTGAGGCATCGCGGGGACCTGAGGAGGGAGGCCAATTTGAAACCACTGCGAGAGAGAGTCATAACCCAAAGCAAGAGTGTTTGGTTATCCCAAGTATCAATTTTCTGCGTGGTCACTTGTTTTGAGAATGGGGGTGAAGAGATTTTCTACTGTGGTAATTCAGACAAGCCCGTTCATTGAGTGCAGGTCGCAAAGGAGACAGGACGGCAGTGAGAATTTCTAATGTTACATAGTAAACATCAACGTTGCCCCCCTCTAAGGGGATAATCTGGTTTTGGAATGTTAAATGAAGAAAAGCATCATCAGTGGGAATATCTTCCAGGAGTTAAGCATAAAGTAATGCCAAAGATGTCAGAGAACAGGCCTTGAAGGGATTGGCTGAGGAGTTTGTAGTAGAGGAGCGTTCTTCCTGCTCCCTAAAGCACGCTAAGATGTTTCATGGTTAGGAAAATGAAAGGGTGCTCATCCTCTTGCTCTTGACCCTGCCTGGTCAGGGAAGGAGCTACTGATAACATAGAATGTGTATAGAAACATTATAAAGTTGCATTCCAGAAAGTATTATTTTGGCTTAGATGGAAAGGCATACCATCCAAGCTCATCATTGCCTAGCTGAGATGACTGAGGACCAGAATGATATGGTGACTTGCCCAGGGTCACACAGGTAGTTAGTGGCACAGCCAGCACTAAAAATCCAGGGCTTCTGGATTTCTGGGTCTGCTATGGCAGTGCACTTTCCTATCACTGCATGCCCCCTCCAGAAGTGGTGGGAGTCAGTGGTCCCAGCATCTGTCTCACGTTCGAATCAGATATCTACACAGGTT